CGTTACTATGCAACTTTCTAGGACGAGGGGATTACCAAGTAAGCCACTTTTGCTCCGGGAGCGTTGGTCACTCTGGCCGGGTTTGTTTTTTCTGGTTTGTGGTCCCGAAGACCATAAGCACCGACGTATTTTCTCTGCGTTTGACCTCTGCGTGCACAGAACAAACAGTTGCGTTCGCCGAGCTGTATGCTACTGGCTTGAGGCAGACCACTGTCTCGTTCAGGGGGAAAACTTTGGGNAGACGTGTGACCGGTACGAAGGCGCTTCGGAGAAGCTTGGAGTCTGTCGAGGGGTAAGAGGGGGGGAGTTCTGCTTCGCAACAGGGAGCCTAAGGAGTAGTGGTTTACCAACCGATACCCCTCTGAGTCCCTTCCAGGATCGTTTTAGGGATGGAGCAAACGTGATGAGCTTACGGGCTGTAGAAAGGCAACCCATATCTACTACGAGGCCGTGGGGAGTTTTTCTTTTCTTTGGAATAAGCCACGAGCAGTTGTCGTGCTTGAAAACCTTCGTATCCAGATGTTTAAAGATTAACTCCGTCATTTCCTGAGGGGTAAAGAAGCTCGGAAAATGTCCCAGAAGAACACCCTTTTTGGAACAGTTGCGTCTGCTTGTAACATTCTTGCTGTATCAAGTATTTGCTACTCAGAGACTTTGATTGCTTGGTCCGCAGCCGAGTTAACTGGGGAGTTCAACATGAGGGCGTTGCGTTTGGCAACCTGGTCACTGAGAGCATTTAAATCAGACTTCAGCTTCAATAGTTCTAAGGCTTGTTCGTGTATGATACCTAGCATTTCGGTTTGCGAACCAGTTTTATCCATGTCCATCACAGGCTCATCTAACATAATGGGGAAGGTGTCCTCGACGGAGGACCGAGCAAGGTTTTATCAGCCATCGAAAGATTGAACGATGTAATAAAAAAAGTTTTATATGGGTCGAAACAAAATAATTAGAGCCGAGTGAGTGCAAAACTTGTAGAATTACACAAACCGATAGCGAGGTTAAACGTATCGCGACCCAGATCTCTGGGTTGTCCTCTCTGGCTGCTCTACGTCGAACTGTTTCGAGGACTCTTTTATCTTTTATTAATACTGAGGGCAAGCCTATATGTTGTATTTTAAGTGCGGTCGTACGTAAGTGTTGTACCTTAGCCTGAAACATTCGGGCTCCATTTTTCCGAAGGATCGGGGGATGAGGTGCTTCCTCTTTTAGTCATTCGGACGCAGTTGTTTGAGAAGTTACTTTTCGAGATCGTTGACTTCCTCTAAAACTGTTAGGGGCATGGATTGGAGGAAGTGTACTCTTACAACCTTACCCTTCAGACGGACCACGTGGCACTTGGCGTGATTCAGAAGTAGACCATTCTGCGTGCTCCATTTGCCAATGGAATCGAAGTTTCTTTGCAAAAGATCTCGGTTCTGTTCATTGTGGATGTTTTTTTCAAATCTTGACATCATCAGCGTATAAACGAATCTTTGACGTCAAGGATTGTGGCAGATCGTTGACATACATTGTGAACAGCAGAGGACCCAGTATTGATCCCCGAGGAACACCACTGAGTACTCGGTGAGCGGTTGAGAGCACCCTGTGTAACAGTAAAAAAGGAGTGAAAATTGCTCTCAATTACCTTGCATTTCCTTATCTTTCTTCGCCGTTCTATCATGCATTCTTTCCGACAGTGGTTTTCATGTCGGTGAGTTTTCTCTTCTGAACCTTTTATTCCACCTGTTTTACGGTGAAGCATATCCACTGGACACACACTTCAAGTGCTTTGCTCTTATATGTAAATGGGGTTCAGTGCTTTTTCTTGTTTCATTGCGACCAAAGTTTCGATTGGACGCTCTTTGTTGAACTAACCGTTGCTTTCGGTTATATTGAACCCTTTTTGGCTGCAACGCTCAAGATTATTTTGCTTCATCTGTTGAAGCGTGCATAATTTTCGTCTTGGTCCAGAATTATCTGAGAAGGTAATTCAAATCACTCATTTTCTTATATAATTCTTAATACCGCATATATTTCCTGTGAATATTTGTAACATTTTGGCTGGATAGTGAATCAGGCTCACTATCAGAGATATGACTGCCCTGTGTATTTGTGAATAATTCCAAAATGGTACTGTAGGTTATATTTAAATCGACTTGGTTCTCGATAATTTGGGCTACGCGTTGCTCTGAGATTTGTTTATCGCTATTCAGAACGAGCGAAGGGTTATTTGATTAAGCGCATACAGACGAGGTATTTTTCGTTTCTCTCGGACCAGAACAATCGCATTTTGGTCCTTACAGTCTCTCCGGACTTGAGTGTAATGGTATGTTCCAATCCNCGTGCATAATTTTCGTCTTGGTCCAGAATTATCTGAGAAGGTAATTCAAATCACTCATTTTCTTATATAATTCTTAATACCGCATATATTTCCTGTGAATATTTGTAACATTTTGGCTGGATAGTGAATCAGGCTCACTATCAGAGATATGACTGCCCTGTGTATTTGTGAATAATTCCAAAATGGTACTGTAGGTTATATTTAAATCGACTTGGTTCTCGATAATTTGGGCTACGCGTTGCTCTGAGATTTGTTTATCGCTATTCAGAACGAGCGAAGGGTTATTTGATTAAGCGCATACAGACGAGGTATTTTTCGTTTCTCTCGGACCAGAACAATCGCATTTTGGTCCTTACAGTACTCTGATATGCCCGTTACTCGGAGAATGAATATGACGAAGAAAGACGTTGATGACGAACAACGGGAAGCCGGTCACAACACTGGAGAATCTCGGTAAGTCCATTTGCATAGCTTTTCTGTTCATGGCTCAAGGGTTAATGGGTCTATTCGGCGGAGCCATAGGTCAAAGCTTAGCGTGTCGTTAATTAAAATGAAGGAACGCCATCTGTGAGAAAAAATGGAGCAGCTGATCGAAGAACTCCAAGAAAGGCATAGAAGCGAACCTCTGTTCGCAAGGGTCGNNCGGAAAAGAAATATGGCTGCGTGTTTACGTGTTTACAGACTCGAGCCATGCACTTAGAGATAGCGGGCAGTCTCAGTACAGATTCGTTCATCCTATGTCTATTGAGATTCGAAGGTAGACGAGGAAGACCTCCAGAGATTTATAGTGATAACAGACCGAAGTTCGTGGGTGCCGTATCAGAACTAAAGGATACAATTAAACGCTGGGATGGACACAAGATTACCAACCGTCTTGCATATGACGAAATAAAATGGTTCTTAAACCCTCCTTTCTCAAGTCATAGGGGAGGCTCATGGGAAAGCATGATTCGTTCCCGCGCAGGTTACTGTATGTGTTCACAAAGGAGCAGTCAATGCATGAGGGAACGCCGTCAACCTGTTTTGTAGAAATCGAAAGGATACTGAATAAACGACCGCTAGTGCCGTGCTTATCGAATGATAAGGAAAGAAAAGCACCGTCTCCGAACAGTTTATTGTCGTTGACGGAGAACGCTCGAAACCTAAGTCTCACAATGACGGAGAGTTATACTAGACGGTGGAGACAAGTCAATCAATTTGCTAATAACTTCTGGCGTCGCTGGGTGAGAGAACACATACCAATTCTGCAAGTGAGACAAAATTGGCTTTCGAATTTCGAATTTCAAATTAAGCAACATCGCATTGATAGCATCTGAGACCACAACACGTGGCAAATGGCCCATGGGTATCATCGATGATGTGGAGACAGACGGAGATGAACTCGTGCGAACGACTGTGGTGCACACGGTTGGCGTCAAGATAAGAAGAGATGTACGTCGTCGGTGTCTATTAGAAGGAACCAAAGCCTAAACAAGAGACTATTGAAGGTGACATTGTCCGCTCGGAAGAATTTTGGCTGCCGGAGTAACAGTCATAAGGACTGAAAATTCCTCTCAATTACCTAGCGTTTCCTCATCTTTCTTCGCCATTCCATCGTGCATTCTTTCTGACAGTGGTTTTTATGTCGGGGGTAGTTACCTGGGAGAGTTTGAGACCCCGACTTGTAGATAGGAGATATGATGCTCGTCTTCCAGTCGGTCGGTAGTCTGCTGTTAACCATGGAGGTTTTATA